AGGGGGGGGGGGGGGGGGGTCAGTGTCCTTAATCCCCACATTTTTTAAAGATCAACTGTACACTATTCCAAACAGCATGACACTAGCAGAGAGATAAACAAATACACCAATGGAAAAGGAAAGCATCTTCAGTAAACCTCATTTATATGGAAAGTTGATTAATGGCAGAGCAAGCATTGTAGAAGAGTGGAAGAGATCACTAACACTTATGTAACAAATAGGGGAGGGACAAACTGTTACCTAATTGGAAAAACACACCGTATCATCTTTATTCTACGGACAATAATCAAGTTAATGTAGATTTAAACGTGAAAGATAAAACTAAAACTCTTTCAGAAGTAACAGGCAAATTTTTTTGATGTAAAAATAGGGAAAATTTTCTCATGTTAAGAGACACCATAAAGAAAGAGACAGAGCTTAACCAACTGGGATTTTACCAAGGCCTAAGTGACCTGGGGGAAAGGACTGAGAAGCACATGTGAAGATGATTAAGTTTTTTTTTCTTCTTCTCCTGACACAGAATACCTGGTGTCTTCTCCAACACCAAATAGGTGTCCTACAATTAAGGTTAACACTAACTACCTGGAGTACTGCTCCCACATCAGATGCCAGCCACAAATGGGGTGCCCGGGCTACCCACAATCTACTTGGCCAACTACAAATTCAGAGGAACTGCTTGACAGAACCCCCACCACGTCTGAGTGTCCTTTAACGGGGCTGGTTTGGGGCCGGTACAATAATTTGCTAGAACAAGTCTCAGAACTCAGAAAAGCACTTCACTTACTCTAGAGGATATTTTAGCCTCTTGACACCTACAGATAAAGTAAATACCAAACAGCCTAAACACTAGAAGGATAAACCTAAAACTTCACAATAAAGGCCTATTTACCTCAGGTTCTTTTCCTCAGTACTTCATGTCCAGCTTGCAAGAAAAATTACAAAGCATACTAAAAACCTTAAAAACAGTTTGAAAAGACAGAGAAAGGCAGGATAAATACCAAAAACAACAGCAGCAACAAAAACACCTAGGCATATCATATTCAAAATGTAGAAAAATCAGAGAAAATACTTAAAGAAGCCAGAGGGTAAAAAAAACACCTTAGTTATAGAGAACAAAGACAGATTTAAATTGGACTTCCTTTGAAAAACCATGCAAGCAAGGAGAAGAGTGAAATATTTAAAGTGTTAAAAGAAAAAAACCACCCACTTAAAACTCT